CTGTCTTGTTTGCTCACGAGCTAGTTTCGCTGCAGCTGCCAGGAAAGGCCCCTGAGAAAACTGTCCGGTCCTCACGGAGGCGGGTGCGCCTGGGCAGGGCTTTCCCTTGTGCACCGTGTGGAAGGCAGACATGGACCGCGCTGATGTCCTCGCTGGGGTGACAGTCACGCAGGGCGGGGCAAAGCCGTGAATGTGGGAAATAGTTTATACTTGTATTATTACTTTTTTATTATTGTCTTATTAATTATTATTAACCTACTTTTCCCACCCCTGTACATATTTATTATTAAAGAAAAAAATTTTTTTAAATATATTTGTATTGATTTCAGAGGGGAAGGGAGAGGGAGAAAGAGAGAAACATCAATGATAAGAGAGAACCATGGATCAACTGCCTCCTGCACGCCCCCCTACTGGGGATGGAGCCTGCAACCCGGGCATGTGCCCTTGACTGGAATCGAACCCAGGACCCTTCAGTCTGCAGGCCGGCGCTCTATCCACTGAGCCACACCAGCCAGGACAAGGAAAATTTAAAACGACAGAACATCAAGAGGAGGGGAGTGTCATGTCTAGTTTCACTTCCCAGAATCAAAGGCATGGACTTCAGGGTACTGTCTTCCTCTCTGTCTGTACATTGAGAAGATGGGGTCACAGCATTCACACTATTTCCCTCCACGGCATCAGCCTTTTCCCGTCATTAACATTTCTTTGTAAGTGGTCTGTCATTATCGCGATAGTATTTTAATTTATACTAAGTTCTTGTACTAAATTAAGGACATAAAGCCCATTTCAGTGTTTCTTATACTGATTTTTCCTTGAGCTAGAATGAATGAGTGGATAGACAGTAACTTCTGAAAGGCCCGTAAAGATGCCCTGAGACCTGTAGCAACGTCATGTCGTTTCAAAGTCCCCTTCCCCGGGTCTCGGTGTCGGAGAAGGCGAACCCTCCTGGGGTGGCAGCCTTGGCTGGTGCTGGCCACGGCCAGCGAGCGCAAGTCCAAAACCTGATCCTTGTGTTTTTAAAACCTCCAGGAGCAGACGCAATTGCCACGGGTCACTACGCGCGGACGTCCCTGGAAGATGAGGAGGTCTTCCAGCAGAAGCACGTTAAGAGGCCAGAGGGGCTTTTCAGAAACCGATTTGAAGTTAGAAATGGTGAGTAACGTGCAGTCAGAGCTCGATTACCTAGAACAGGCGGGCGGCTTTGAAGAGCGCCGGGTCCTTGCTGAGCGTCCCTGCCCCACTCGGGGTGCTCCAGGCCGACTTGTTAGTTTGGGGTTCCTCAGGGGGTCACTTCCCGGGCCTGTGGGTGGTCATCTGCCACCAGGAGAGCCCGGCGGGCCCGGCCCGGCAGTGGGACATTGGATCGTGAGGCACCCCTTGACCCTGGGGGATTCACAGGTCCCGGGCCTGAGAGATTTGACGACGCAGCTGGATCAGGCCCTGTTGCTCCGTCAGGTTCTCGAGGCTGGAGCTGTGGCCGTCAGTTTGGTGTCTGAGCGTCAGTGTCCATGTCTGAGATGGGGATACGTCTGCCCATACCGCTAACCTGAGAATCAGTCTTGGGGTCCCGGGTGGAAAACAGGAACTGCACAGAGAGCATGTCACGCGGGTAGCCGAGTGCAGCGAGTCGAGGCTGCCAGAGCGTGGGTATGAGAAGCGGGAAGGATGCCGCACGCTGGCACGGCATCAGTTCCTTCATTGGTCATTGTGCAGAGGGTACAGCATCAGTTGCTTCCCTGGTCAGTGGACAGAGGGGGCATGGCATCAGTTGCTTCCCTGGTCAGTGGACAGAGGGGGCACGGCATCAGTTACTTCATTGGTCAGTGGACAGAGGGGGCACGGCATCAGTTACTTCATTGGTCAGTGGACAGAGGGGGCACGGCATCAGTTCCTTCATTGGTCAGTGGACAGAGGGGGCACGGCATCAGTTACTTCATTGGTCAGTGGACAGGGGGCACGGCATCAGTTACTTCATTGGTCAGTGGACAGAGGGGGCACGGCATCAGTTCCTTCATTGGTCAGTGGACAGAGGGGGCAGTCCGGCAGTTGCTACCACAGTTGCTACCACTAGAGGAACAGCAGCCTGGGCTGAGCCGGGGCCACGGGGCCAGGATCCGCACTCTGCACTGTATCTGGTCCCTGGAAGCGCCCTCATCAGGACTAGCGAATAGCAGAGGAGCCGCAGGGGAGCTGACAGTGCCCGCTGGGCTCTGACACAGACACGTGCACCCGGAGAGCGTGCATCTATGCAGGGCCGATGCCCCAAGGCGTGCCCTCGACCACAGCGGGCTCAGTGCGCCTCCACGGCCAGGACTGCCTGCAGCCTGGCTCTGCGCTGACCCCCCTCCCCCCCCTCCCCCCCAGCTCCCCACAGGCTGCGTTTATTCTAACCTTGGTTTTCCATGGGATGTTTCTTTGAAAATATTGCCCTGAAAGTGGGAACTGGGACAGAGTTCCTCATCCTGTGAACCCTCCCTTCCCCGTACACGTGTGTTTTAACAGCGGAGGAGCCGGGGAGAAGCCCGCACTGACCCCGCTTCTCTGTTCCTGAGCCTCCGCAGCGGAGTGTGAGCGCGGCTCTGCCAGACGGGGGCGCTGTGTCTGAGGACGAGAGGGCGGCACTGAGAGCGACGATGTTCATCCTGCAACGTCTCTTGTTCTTCCTCTTGGCAGCGGTAAAGCTTCTGCAGGCAGCTGACAGCTGTAAAGACCAGACCTTCTTTCTCAGCCAGGTTCCCCAGGAGGCCCTGAGGCGAACCCTCTTCCCCCTGGGGGGGCTCACGAAGGATTTTGTAAAGAAAATAGCTGCTGAGAACAGACTGCACCATGTGCTGCAGAAGAAGGAGGTAGGACCGGAGTGTGGCCGCCCCTGGGGAGCTGGTTCTGGGCTGGGCAGGAGGCACCAGGGCCTTCAGAGAGCACCTTGGCCGGGACTTCTCCCTCCTCCCCTGCTCGGCCCCTGGGGAGGGGGGAGCAGCTTTCCCAGCGGCCTTGGTAGCTCCTTGGGGTGCTCCTGGCCCTGCGCCAGGAGGGAGCAGGCAGTGAGGGCTGGGCACGGGACTCCTGCACGTGGTCGCCGTCTCCATCCGTGGCTGGCGCGTGCCTGTCGGTGCTGGGAGCCGGGCGGTGCTGCTGCCTCGGGGCTGCCTTCATGGAGCTCCCAGCAGGCAGTCTGCTGGGCCGGGGTGGGGGGTACAGCAGTGGGCGCTGACGCAGATGCAGGGCCTCCGGGAGACGACTGGCCTAAGGCCTAGCCCAGTGATGGCGAACCTATGACACGCGTGTCAGAGGGGACACGTGAACTCATTTTTTTGGTTGATTTTTCTTTGTTAAATGGCATTTAAATATATAAAATAAATATCAAAAATATGTCTTTGTTTTACTATGGTTGCAAATATCAAAAAATGTCTATATGTGACACGGCACCAGAGTTAAGTTAGGGTTTTTCAAAAAGCTGACACGCCGAGCTCAGAAGGTTCGCCATCATTGGCCTAGACGATGAGTGGGATTCAGTGTTAAGTAGACAGCTGGGGGGACTGCTAAGTATGACGAGCACACACAGAGGCCCCGCGAGAAAGCCTGTGCGTGGGTGGGTCAGGGTGCAGCCGGGTGGGCGGGGTGCCCGAGGCGGGGCGGAGGTAGCTTAGTGATGCCGCCCCTCCTGTCCGCCTTCCTGGGCCTTTTGTCAGCAGGTCACTGCTCCCTCCACCCAGCCCCCCGCCACCAGCCCTGTCCTCCCCCTGCTCCATGTCTCAGTGTGACTTGGGAGGAGCCGAGAGGACCACCCCGCGCCCCCACGTTCTAGACACAAACCTCAGGACGAGTGGGAAGCGTGTGCTGAGGGCACAAGGGAGAGCGGCTCCAGCTCGGGGTGTGCCAGCTGGGACCTCGGCCTCTCCTGAGGGACTCGGCTCCCGCCTGGCGTCCCACTTCCCGCTCGGCGCTGGTCTCTCCTGCGCGTGGGCAGTGGCCTGAGGCCTGAGCGGCTTTAGGGGGGACGCGTGTGCTTGCCTAGCTGGCAGGCCCAGGGCCAGGGACAGGACCACCTGGGAGGCTGCCCCCAGCACGTGTGTCTGTGGGCGGGGCCCGGTGTCGGTGCTGGTGGGGACGGCCAGCCCGGGGAGGGCTGACCCTCGGCTGCCCTTCACCTCCGCCGCCTCTTCCTTCCAGAGCATGGGCATCTGCTTCGTGGGCAAAAGGAATTTTGAAAAGTTCATCCTCCAGGTGAGTGCCCGTGCTGCGGGGACAGCCCCTCCCTGCCCGGCCGGCCCGCAGTAACAGGTGTGTGTTCAGTACTTACAGCCGCGGCCCGGGCAGTTCATTTCCATCGAAGATGGCACCGTGCTGGGGACACACAGAGGTGAGGCCAGCCTGCGCTGCTCTTGGTCGGGAACCCTGGAGGGGGCGCGGGGCGGCGGGGGGGCTCGGTGGCTGCTGTCGGTCCATTAGCTCGAGAGTCAGAGCTGCGGGCGGGTGGGGAGGCATGGACGGCGGGCAGCAGCAGCGTTGACATGGGTTCCTGCGTGTGGCAGTGGCAGCAGGAGGGTGACCACCTGCCAGGGACAGAACTGCAGGTGCTCCCCGCCCGTCAGTGAGGCAGCGGTGGTGATCTGCGCCTGCGTGTCTCGGGAGGGAGGGGGGAAGGTGGAGAGTGGCCTGGCCTCTGGTCTTGTGGTTTGTTGTGGGGGTGCCCAGAAGTAGTCAGAGGGATTGGGCACAGAAGCCAGGGGCAGCCCTGCCGTGGGTCGTGGGTGGGTGGGAGGCACCTATGTAACCGCAGCCGCATGGCAGCTCAGCAAGAGGGGCTCTCGGCTCCCAGCAGCCCAGCCCCCTTCTAGAGGAATCGCCCTGCTGCCTGGTCTGGTGTCCTGCAGGGCTCCTTGCAGGGGCGAGGTACCCAGGCCTGATGAGGGATGGACACGCTCGGGCTCAGTCAGGGCTTCCCTGGCGTTGGAACCCTGGCCAATCCGGGTGGCCCCTTGGTGGTCCACGGAGCCCCGCTCCCGCCTGTCCCCTATTGGCGTGGGGGTGGTTGAGAGGGACCGTGCCCGCCTCACTGAAAATGTTCCCGTAGGTTGGTTCCTGTACACGTTAGGCCAGAGGGCCAAGATCGGCGGCCTGCGCGAGCCCTGGTACGTGGTGGAGAAGGACGGCGCCAAGGGCGACGTGTTTGTGGTGAGTGGCTGGCCCCGCATGCGGTGCCGAGTCTGCGGGCAGAGCCAGGGTGAGGCTGATGGGCGTCCTGGCCTCCTGCACCCCTGGGCCGGCCCCGGAGCGCAGGGTGTCGTTTACGGTGTCCCTGGGCGCTCCCGGACGCTGGTCACTCGTTAGCCACATCGGTCCCTGTAAGTAGATGCCATTCCTCCGAGTTAACGAGGACACGACAGGTGGTTGGGGTGAAGGCCCGTGGAGAGGAGGGGGCGTCAGGGCCTCGACGGGCTTGCACGCAGGGTCCCGCCGTCTCGCGGAGCAGTGGCAGGTTGTGGGGTCGGCTCGCAGCGCCCCTGCTGCCAAGTGTGACCGTGACCTGTAGTTCCCGCTTCTGCAAAATGGGGTCAAAGGCTCCTGAGGGCGT